TGTAATTCACCCCACTGCAAAAAATTTAAATCTAAATAAGTAATTTTTTTTTAAAATAAGTGCATTTTTCCTTGAATTGATGAGGTAAGTGAGACACTTTGCCAATGGAACAAGACAATTTACATTTGAAATAAGAAAAAACTATTGCGTTCTTTTTTCAAGTGCATATTATCCAATTATCTTGTTTTAACTGTAAAAATACTCATTCCATTGGCAAACTCTCTTATTTACCTGCTCAAATTAAGGGTAAATACAGTTTCTACTTATTTTCAGATAGTTTTTGCAAAGTAGCTGTAGCAGCATCAGGATATTAGTTATACAGGAGGCAAGACAGAAAGCTTTATAGTGAGTTACACCTTATAATGATTGGTCAGTTAGATGTTATAAATGCAGCGACAGCAACTACTCGGGATGGACGGCCCATTCCCACATTTTTTATCATAAGACCCAACATTCCTGGCAGTGCTCCTCAGCTGCGAGGCTCAGAGCACATTTTCCAGCATGTCTGTGAAAATCTCTGGCAGCCTGGCTTAGCTGGCTAACGGAAAGTGTAGGAAGTGGACAGTGGAGTGTCTTTGCAAGGCAAGTATGTCACATTATGGTGGGCAAAGTCTGTATTACCTGAAAAAACAAGAGAATATTCTCTTGTAATTTGACACACAAATGCTTTAGAATATTTTTGATTGATTCCCTTTTTAATTAAACATCTTTACATTCAAATTATACAGAATATTGAACAGCAGAAACTAATTAATCGACACAAAATTCAATCACAGCAAGAAATATCTGGATACTTCAAGATAAGGTCATGAAAATTAAGATACAATACAGTATATCGGTTTTTGATGAGCAAATCTGAAAACAGCAGATGAGCACAAACCTAGAAACTCAAATATTGCAGTGCAACAACATATTTTATATTTTCATCCTTGTTTAAGACCTAGTACCATCTAATTATAACTTTCACAGTAAAACAACCATAAACAGATTTGGTTGCAATTTGGCTATTCAGCATATTTGGATTTGCAACAGAAAAAGGGTGAGACCTGAAAGTGGGAAGTCACCCACAGAGCTGCATGTACTGGGAAGACTATGGGTCAGTTATTGCAGGAAGAGGGCACAGTATGACACGGGTCAATCAAACAGACGCTGATGGATCAGCGTCTGTTTGATTATCAAACAGAACCTCTGGATCTGGCTAAAACCAGCCAGATAGACGAAAAAAATAATCCAATCTAACACCAACATTTACTATACTGCCATTAAACATCCTTTTTGTCAAATAAAAAACGAAGCAACTCAAACACATTCATAGGAAATCTAAACTTTATGTTCATTTGAATCAGCCCACAGATAATATTACACATAATATATGATTTTTAATTTAGATTGCACAAATAAAAAACAGGAATCGCAGGATTAGCTGTATTTAATTCCCTAATGATACCTGCAAGTAAAATCCAGTACAGCCGGGTGTCAGCTGCATGGAAAAGCTGCAGAGATTCACGGCTAATGTGGGAGAATCTGTGGACAGGAAAACTATCAGCTGCCCACTCTGTAAATATGGGCATCATGAGAGCCTGAAAAAAATGCGTTGTTGACAGGAAGCCATTAGAAGTCCAGGCTGCACAGCCAAAAGCTACACTCTGTGTGTAAAGTGAACCCACCTTCTGCACAGTGAAACACAGTAATGGAAGCATCATGCTTTGGGAATGATTTCCTTCAGCATAAACTGAAGCTGCTCAGTGGTGACAGGGCAATGGATGTAGCTCAACAAAGGACAGACAATGAAGAAAACTGTTAGTGGATCTAAATGACCTCAGACTGTTCTAAAAATGATGTAGATCCGATTTATTAGAACGGCCAAACCTAAATCCGACGGAGCGTCACAGACACTTTACACCCAATCGATCTGAGCTTTCAACTTTTCTTTGCAAAACAATAATGGAGCAATAAATTAGCCTTTGAAAGCCAAATTTAAACAGTTTCCTTTCTCTTCCTATTCAGAGTTATGAGCTCATCTCTGTTGCTCTTAACAACCTTCATAAAATCCACTGAAGTTTGTGCTGTTATTGCAAGAACGCTTATAGGTGTGAATACTTCAACAAGCTGGTGAACTTCTATAACAAACCCTCAGCTTTGTTCGAAGCTTAGCCGTCTTTTAGAAGAAACATGCCTATTAAGCTCGCCTGTCACCTTAAAACGACATTCCTGACTGTAGGTAAACATAAATTTTTTGTTAAATGGCACAATATCATGAAAACCTGCCATGGCAAACAGTTATAAGGACATAAAGCAGTTAACCAGAGGTTCAAACACCTCATCAGACTTGAATAAGGGTCATCAGCCTCTGTGACCACGCTGCTCATAAACAAACATTAAAGTTGGGACATCTAGACTGATGGCGTCATTGCAAAGGATTACAGTTGTGCAGACGTGACTCCATCATCATATTCCATCTTTACTGAAAACTGCGAATACAATCCAAACACATAGAGATGAAAGCTGCAACTTATTGCCTTTCGAGGTCTTGGAAGCGAATGAGGAGATTCAAAACATTTGCAGATGTTTAATCACAGTCATGTAAAT